AACGATATTCTTTACTAAGTTTTTATAAATCAGTTTTTTATTAATATAAAAAGATTATTAACCTAATAAAATTCTAACAAAATTTTATTAAATCAAAGATTTCAGCCATGAGCGTTCGCGAGAAGCTCTCCATCTTTGAGAATCTCTCCATCTTTGAGAATCTTCAATCTCCAACTCTCCCTTCTTCGTCCCAAGAATCAGATCTACATGATCAAAGTACTACAAAAATTCCAAACTCAGTTCCCGTTACTGATACCAGTATGGTATATTCTCCTTCTCCTCCCACCATGCAAGGGGATATATCCATGTATGAGGCTACTCAACCTGGTAATTTGGCAGCGTTATCTTACAAAGATAAACTCTTATTTGATGAGAATCCTACAATTGTATCCTTTGCCACCACTCCAGGATACATGGATGAGGACTCGGATGTCGATGACGATCCGAATGACTCAACTCCCATCATCTTGCTTTCCAAAGCTGAGAAGAGACGCATAAGAGAGCCATGGATGAATGCCCTCATCATCAAAGCCTTTCACTCCAAACCTCTTGGTTACAATTATGTCTTTCCAAGGGTGAAGGCTCAATGGAAGCCAACAAGTAAGTGGGATTTCATAGACTTGGGACTTGATTTTTTTCTTGTTCGATTTCAGGTTCCAGAGGACCTAAACAGAGTCATATCTGGTGGGCCTTGGTTTGTTGGTCCCTACTATCTAACTATTAGGAGATGGGAACCAAACTTTGATCCTGCAGAGGCCGTTAATTCAACTACTACCATTGCTGTGTGGGCAAGGTTCCCAAACTTATCAGCTGATCATTACAATCCCACCACTCTTCAAAAAATAAGAAATGAGGTTGTGACACTTTTGTGCGTAGATGCTCATACCGCTCACCACACTCGGGGCCAATACACACGGGTATGTGTCCAAATTGATCTATCTCGCCCAGTTGTGAAGGTTGTCCAAATTGGTAAAAAAAAATAGAGGGTTCTAGATGAGGGTGTTAATGCTCTATGCTTTAATTGTGGACGAATTGGCCATCGCAACAATCAATGCCCAGGACTCAAGGACAAAATCCCCCTATAATCAATGCTATCTCGAACGCCCCTACAGTGAGTTCTGATCCCAAACTAGTTGATGCGTCCAATGCCCAAGAACCTGAGACTATAATTAAGGATACAAACACAAAAAATCTGGTTGCTCAGGGTGATACTCAACAGGATTGCATTGATTTTGGCCCTTGGCTTCTTGTGGAACATCGGAAGCCTAGGAAAAAAAACCCCAGTTATTGGGAACTCATCGGAGAAGACAATGGCTACTACAGTGCCTAGCTCATCTCGTGGGTCTGGAGCCCCGATCCGCAAACTGGGTCCGAAATCTCAATCTAGATCTACAACCAATCGTGTGAGTCAAACTAACGGTTACAAGCCACAAGCATTTAATGCTGAGCAAACCAGTGTCAAATTTGATGTGTCAGCTATATCTGGAAAAGCAGTTTATTTAGAAAGTTTCAACGAGCAGAAATTTAAAGAACCCCAATGGGTCATCAAAAACTCATCAAAGGTCCAGAGTGTTTCTAAAGGTAAGGGCCACCTTGAGCCCAGAGCAAAAACCAAGCTTATATCAAACCCAAACCCCAAGGCCCGAAACACTCTTGAGCTTGTCAATGCTCTTATTTCTTTCTCATCATCAGAGTCCACTCCAATTACGAGACCTATATTTACCACCCATATGACAGTAGTAGACTCTTCTTCTCAACCCATTACATCTTGTGCCCCACCTTCATCCTCCCTCACTCAATCCTCTCACTGCTCGTCGATATTTTCTTCTCTTTGTTCTCCCTCAACCCATGGAACCCCTCAATTGCTTGTCCCTTCACCCAAACCTCCAAATCTGCTTAGTAAGGGGCAACACCAAGATTCATCTGAACTATGCGTTGAAACGGATGCTAGCCGATGTTTCTCCAAGGAGCGAGAATTGGACAATGCCACAGATTTTGGAGGCATGGCGTGCTCCGATAATCACCTACAATCGTATGGATCTACAGGGGATTCTACATCTTACCCCAGCTCCATCAACCGACCTAGCCTCAAGAGAACAGTTTCAGATCATGAATCTAGAATTGTCAGAAGGAGCGAATATCGAAGAGGACTTAAGCCTTATCATTCCGCATCAAATTTCCAGCTCAGCTTACATGCCTCATCTGAAGATAATCAACATGAAAGGCAAGATGGAACATCTTCATTTAGTGTCCAAAATGCTCCCCTCGTTATTTACGAAGTCAAAAATAGATTACGAGACTCTCTTAATCCCCTTCCACTTCCCCCAAGCAAGGTTCCTGTTCAAGGACCAGAGGCTTCCAGTGCCAATCTTGGACTTGACACTAGCCCAGATCCTACTGGGAATCTCAAATCAGAGTGATTGGATGGTGAAGATCATTTCATGGAACTGTCATGGGGCAGCAAAACATAATTTTCATAGTAGTGCCATGGATTTGAAACGCACCCACAATCCTGTTATTATGCTGGTTGTTGAAACTAAATTATTTGGAGAAGATGCTCGAAGCCAAGCAGCTTCTCTTGGATTTGCTAAATCCTTTGTGGTGAACTCTAATGGGCTTGCTAGAGGGCTATGGCTTTTATGGGATGATGCTATAGTTGTGGTGGACATTGTCTCCTATAGCGATCAAGCCATTCATGCAATTATTAAGGTATGTAATAACCCTTTTTTTCCTACTGATTGGTTTCTTTCTGGTATTTATGGTAGGCCCCAAATAGATACTAGAGCTCTTTTATGGAATGAACTATCTACTATTGTTGAAAACATCTCTATGCCTTGGATGATGATTGGGGACTTCAATGACATTTTAGACCAAAGTGAGCAATTTGGTGGTAATAGAATATGTCAAGCCCGTGTCCGAGCTTACTTGGAGTGCATGAACAATTGTAACATGATTGATCTGGGGTTTGTGGGTAATAGATTTACTTGGGTTAACATGAGATTTTCGCACCACCTTATTCGAGAAAGGCTTGATCGGGCTTGGGCAAATCTTGAGTGGAAATTGCTATTTCCCGAAGCAGCTCTGTTTCATCTTCCACGGACTAGTTCTGATCATTGTCCAATCATGCTTGTTCTTAAGCCCTTTACTCCTCGCACATGTTCTAGATCTTTTCGTATGGAAAAATTTTGGCTTGATCATCCTGAATTTCAAGCTCTTATTCAACAAATTTGGTCATTTAATAACTCCAACACATCTGATTGTTTGGATACCTCTATGAAGCAAGCAAGGATTTGGAGTTGGAGTCGAAATACTTTTGGGAATATTTTCAAAAGAAAGCAAAAGCTCCTTTCACGACTTGCTAGTATTCAAAAGTCTGCTTCCTATAATTTTTCTCCCTTCCTTTGGAATCTTGAAAAGGAGCTTATTCAAGAATTTGAGCGTGTGCTTAAATTAGAGGAGGATTTATGGTTCATGAAATCTAGAACCAATTGGATTGTTGAGGGGGATAGGAATACCAAAATTTTCCATCTATCCACTATTAAACACCGATCAAAGAACATGATCTTTGGGCTTAAGAACCTTGTTGGGGACTAGATTCATGATAGCTCTTTCATTTCCAAAATTGCTACTGATTTCTTCCAGGATCTTTTCTCCACCACACTTGATCATTCCTTTATGGACTCTTTTCAAACTATTCAACTTTCTATTGATGAGTCCCTTAGTTTGGATTCTCTCAGTGGAATTCCCTCCGAAGTTGAAATTTTGAGAGCATTTAACTCTATGAAGCCTTATAAAGCTCCTGGCCCGGATGGTACTCACCCTTTCTTTTATCAAAAACTCTGGGCTATGGTTAAGGATAAAGTTTGCAATGATGTCAAACAGATATTTCAGGAGAGTACTATTTTGGCAAAGTGGAATGAGTGCCTTTTGATCCTTATTCCTAAAGTTAAATCCCCTGAAACTATTCAACAATATAGACCTATTGGGCTGTGTAATACCTCTTACAAAATTATTTCCAAGATTCTTGTTCATAGACCGAAGCCTTGGATGTATAAACTTATCTCCCCTTGTCAATCATATGATAGGCTCGAGTAGAGCTTTATTCGGGAGGCTTTGCTTTTCTTCAAGTTTCCAATGGAGATCATTAATCTTATTATGTCAATGCTTTGTTCTTCATCTATTTCTATTCTTGTGAATGGAGATAAAACTGACTCTTTTCTTCCAACTAGAGGCATCCGTCAAAGTGACCCCTTTTCTCCATATTTGTTCATTATTTGCATGGAGTTTTTATCTCTTAAAATATCTGCTGATATGGAGGCTGGGCACTGGAAAGGTTCTAAGGCGGGTAGGAGAGGGCCTTTGCTCTCTCACTTGTTCTTTGCAGATGATATTATATTCATTAGTAAGGCTACCCCTCAAAATTGTGTTTACTTGAAAAACCTTTTGGATTTTTTTTGCGGCAGATCTGGCCAGCATGTGAATCCTGCTAAATCAAAGATTTTCTTCTCCAAAAATGTGTCTATTAACAATAGGGAGTCCCTTTCTGCTATCTTGGGCTTTCCTTGCACGGAGGACCTTGGTACTTATCTAGGTATTCCCATCTCGGCAAAAAAGATTTCTAAAGGTAAGTGTCAATTTATTATTGATAGAGTGAGAGCTAAACTTGCAGGATGGAAGTCCAGATTCCTTTTTTTGGCAGGTCGTGTCACCCTCACTTCTTCGGTCTTAGCAGCTATCCCTAATTATTATATGCAAACCATGCTTTTACCTGCTTCAGTTCATACTGAGTTAGACCAAATATCTCAAATTTTCATTTGGGGATCAGAAGATAACCAAAAGAAGATTCATCTAGTTGGGTGGCAGACTGTCACCCAACCTAGGGTTCTTAGAGGGTTGGGACTCAAAAGTTCCAAGGAAGCTAACTTAGCAGCCATGAGTAAACTCAACTGGAGATTGTACATGAAGAAGGATAAACTTTGGTGTAATATTTTTTGCAGCAAGTATAATCTCTCTAATTGTCATTCCCCCCTTCCCTGCATCTGGTTCTCCCATTTGGAAAGCCATTATTAAGGGATATGATATTTTTAAGGTTGGTATTAAGTGGATTCCATGATCTGGTGAGAATGTGAGATTCTGGACTGATTGTTGGTGTTGTGATATCCCACTTATCTCTTGGATATATGGTCCTCATACTCCTGGCTTCGAGCTCATCACTGTTGCTGAATTTTTCAATGCTGGTGCATCCGCTGCTGATCTTATTGCTTATCCCATTCCTACCAACATTGAACCCCTTATTTATGCTGTTCCTGTATCTCTTTTTGCTTTAAGAGAAGACACATTTACTTGGGTTGGTAGCTCCAATGGGTCTTTCTCATCTGCTTCTGCTTATTGTATTACAAAGCATCTCCCTCTTAAACCTTTGGAGGATTGGAGATGGTTGTGGAAATCTTATACTTACCCAAAAATTCAATACTTCCTTTGGTTGCTTGCCCATGACCGTCTAAAATGCTTCTCCTTTTTACATAGACTTGGTATTATCTCCTCTCATCTATGCCCGTTATGTCATTTGGAAGATGAAACAGTTGAGCATCTGATTCGCTCTTGCCCTGTTTCTGTTACTATTCTTTCTGATGTTCTCCCTGGTGTTTTGTCCTAAGACCAGCTGAACTTGGATTTTTTATCTTGGCTTAAAACAAACTACTCCCGGATGAACACTAATGTTGTCCTCAATATCCCCTGGGCGTTGGTTTTTTATTTTGCTATGTGGGGAATCTGGCTCCATCGGAACCAGCTCATTCATAGATCGAATCCGTATGGTACTGCCATTTCAAAAAGGCTGATCCTTGAGAAAGCCTCTGAATTCTGGGCTGGGCAGGGCAATCCCTACCAACCCCTCCTTCTTGTGGATCCTCTTTCTTTAAATGGTCCAAACCCCTCTCCCCCTTTATTAAACTTAACACAGATGGCTCTATCCTTGGGAACCCAGGTGGAGCAGCTTCGGGAGGTTTGTTTCGAGATCATAATGGTGGTTGGATTCTTGGATTTGCCAAAAAAATTGGAATCACTAGCAGCCTTACTGCTGAGCTTTGGGCTGGGCTTTGAGAGATGGCCTTGCCCTTGCTATTACTCATTCCTCTTCTCACCTAATTGTTGAAATGGATTCCAGTACTGCTTTTAATTTCATGATGAATACTGCTAGCATTTCTCATCCCCTCAGTTCTCTAATCTTGGATTGCAGGGATCTCCTCAGACTCATCCCCTATGTTCAGATATTTCATATCAAGCGTCAATCGAATATGGCTGCTGATCAAATTGCTAGAATGGGACATTCACTACAGCAGGATTTTGTTGTTCTTCCTCACTGTCTCGTTAATGTCAAACTTTTATGTATTTTGGATATTATGGGATATGAATTTCCCAGGAACAACTAGTGTATTCTGTTTTGTGTTAGTTTAATGATATCATCCCCATTTACCAAAAAAAAAAAAAATTATTACAAAATTTAATGATTTTTATATCATATTTTTTAACTTTTTATGCAATACTTTACTGATCATTTTCTCATTAAAAAAAATTTGATAAAGTTGTGCCTTAAACCAAATGAGCAGAGTAGAAGAAAATTCAATGCCGTACACCTACTGCCAATGGAGGCGGAAGAGGGCCAACCCTCTTGAATGTCTGGTTTACTAATTTCGGGGACCCCTCCTAAGAAGGAAAGAGACGCTGAAACGAGGAGGGTGCAAAAAGCTTAAGATGATATTTAGATGTTATTGACGATTTACAAAGTAACAAAGACAATGACCCTTGGTTAACAAATGAACAGACGTTCTCAGTTACAGAAAATCATAAATCTTCGTTTTCAATTCCACAAATGTACAAATTTGCAAGAAGAACCGAAAACAATGTCGTTTAGGCAACCTGGTAGCTAGCTTCTAAGTTTCAAGATTGAGCTCTTTGTGTTCTTATTAACCTGTGCTTGTAAGAAACCCTGAGCTTGATCTCTGAATCTTCCTTGATGATCAAGTAGAAAAAATATAATCCTACCAATTCAAATTAAGATATAATACTTCTATAAACTGAAAAGCAGATCATCAATCATGACTAGATACTATAGACCAAAAAATGCATTAGGGAAAAAACTATAGGGATTATTGAGGTTACTAAAAATGGTGTTTGAAGTTACCTCTGTAGCATCCTTAAGTGACCCCCAACATTCCATGCGATTTTACTTTGGTGAGCTAGAATGGAAGTAAACCCAAACTAAAGACTTCATTAACTCATGATGCTCTTTGAAAATTCCATTCTCCACAGAGCTCAGCTAAATCAGCACAAAATCAACGTTTGTATAATTAGTCACTCAGCCAAGAAGTTGTTGCAAAATGTAATTACAAAATCTAAGCATCTCTTACCATGATTTTTTCAACCACAACAAGGTATTCACAAAATGTAATTACAAAACAAATAGACAGGTCATGCCCTTAAAAATCTGGAAGATTTTGCTCCTTTTCCCATCATTATAAGGTAAAAGTTTTAACAAAAAACCAGATCACAGAAATACCGCAATCCAAGGACTATACCAATTCGTCCTTGTTGATTTTTTTCAACAAAGAAATGGAGATAAAATCAGGAAGAAGATGAAGATAAGAACATAAACTAAAATGGAGAGGAGTATAACACTACAACTTAGATTTCTCATTTAACAAACTCTGCTTTATATAGCAGAAAACAATCTAAAAACAATTCAAAAGCTTTCAAGTAACTTTTCTACATTAAAAAGAAAAAATAAAAGTACATCTAAAACAAGTAAAAGACAACCGCTTTCGCTGCATGCTTGCTGTCATTTGGCAGCTCTGCAGCCCTTCATTCAGATGCATTTTGCATTTCATTTGTTCTCATTTTAGCTTCATTTCATCAGCACTTTCAGCTTAGCTTGCTGCACATTTTTGCTGTCATTTTACAGCTTCATTTCCATCATATTTGCAGCTAAATTGCTGCCATATTTGCTGTCAAATTGCAGCTTCATTTGCTGTTAATTTCCAGCCTCATTGCTGCCATTTCATCATTTTGCAGGTTTGAATGCCAAATTTCCAACGATAATTCCAACAGTCCTTTGCCAAAGCATCCAACAACATGTTATATGCAAAGATATCCAATTTTTTCCCCTTCCTCCTCATCTCCAGATACACAGCAAATGCCTTGACTGAGTCATGTGACCTTAAGAAGGCTTGAAGCAGACACTTGTAAGTGTAAGCATTCATCTTCAAGTCCCACTTCTCTGCCTACTCAATGCACATAGCCAAGTCTTCTGTGCATATTCACAGTGAAGATAGTTCCACGTATATTGGAGTTCTTCATTTCAACGTGTATGTCCAGTTTAGGGGGGAGGCGCAGGTGGCGGTTATGGTCGTGTCTCATGCTGGCGGCGGCAGCTGAGCTCTGTTGGGCTACCCCAGTCGGAGTGACTGCTCGTTTATTACTACCATATACTAACAACGACTTTTGGCTGGGCCTGGGCTAAGTTTTTCAACAAGGGGTCTAAGCTACGAAGCCTAGTTTGTGTGTTTTTGATTACCAAAAAAAAAAATAAATAAATAAATGAATTGTGTTTCTTTTTTAAGTAAAGTTGTCAATCTCCTACACAAGGAATGCCAAGGGCAGTCGATCTTTCACCAATCGCTCCGTCACTAAACTGTTGTTTACCATCTTGTCCTTACTCTACTCTTTGTCATTTCTTTCTTCCCTCACAAATTTACTGGAATTGATCTTCGAATCTGTTTCGCTGGTAATTGGACTGCCAGTCTGCCATATCCCTGCCCTCTTTCTTTCTTTCTTTCTTTCGCTAATCACTGTCTCTATCTCCCTCTTTCCTTCAAGTTTCAACAATAGAGAGAGGGATGGAATTTTTAAGATCATTTTTTGTGTGTGATAATTAATGGAAAAGGAGAAAAATAGAGAAGCGTTAATCACAAAACAGGAGAGCTTCCATTGCCTATTTTCAAAAAAAAAAAAAAAAAAGAGAGGAATTTCAAAATGTTTAATGATTTGTATTGAAGATTTGTAGAAAAGATATGGGAGGAAAAAAAAAAAGAAGAAAGTACAGGGAAGTGTTCAAGTGTTTAGCTTTGTTGGAGCCTTGGAGGCAAAACATACTCCAACTACTATAGTACTATTGCATGTTCAATGATGTATATTTGATAAGCTTTTCATCTCCCTGAGGGGACCTGAGGCCTCCATGCATCCTCTGTTTGTTGCAGCAGCGGTGGCCCATAGATATAGTTTTCTTACTTATTCCTCATTTGCAAGTTCAAGGTATCCAGTACTCTCTTTGTCCATAGCAATGACTAATTATGTGTTTTTTGAAGGAAAGATGAAAGTATTGGTATGTGGGGTGGAAATTTTGACCAGATCACCAGTTGAAACTGAAGGGATAGGCCATGGCGGTGGGCAAAGAAATGTAGAGGACTTCAAGATTTTGCATTTTGTTCTTTTCCTCTTCGCTCTTAAAAATAGGCCGAACTTTTCATATTTTTATAGCATGTAATGGTTTTGTCTTTTAACAATTCAGTTGCAATTGCCGGTTCCCGTCAATGTCTTTATTTCTTAGGTGACGTGGGAAAACAGAAGAAAGGGTGCTGAAGAGCAAGTGCTGGAGCGAGTGCTCCTGGCACTGCTCCTCCTATAGTCCCGATTTTGTTTCTGAAAGTGTACATTCCGGATACTGAAAAATACCAGATATTATTTTGAATTTATCGTTACATTTATAAATGTGTACTCCCTCTCTCTTTTCTAATAGATTTAATTTATTTTTTTTTATTTTTAATAAATAAAATTTAATAATGTATATGAATAATAATTTAAATTTTTCTTTCCTTGTATATATAGAACTTGTTTAATATTTTTATTTGATTAAAAAATTTTAATTATTGTTTATATAAATTATTAAATTTTTATTTAAAATTTATATTTAAAAGTCAAAAAATCAAATTAAATTTATTAAAAATGAATCAAAAGTGTATATTTTTTTGAACATTTATAAATAAATCATATATAATTGTAAGAGTAAGAATCCATTTATATATTAGTTTTATACATTACTTTATAAAAAATTTCAATAATTTATCTTCTTACTTTTTTATAGTTAAAATTTATTCATATTTATTAAAACAATTTTTTTTTCATCTCAAAAGTCATAATAAATTTTAACCATTGAAAATTAATAAATGAATGGTTAAAATTTTATATAAGTATAATGTGTAAAATTTGTATATAAATGAATCCCTCTTTATTTTATAATGATATATATGTATAATAAGTATTCTTTCTATCTCAAAATAACTATGTTATTTGACTTTTTCTCAAATTAAAGATTTAGGAAAAATAATTGTATTTATTTATAATATTCTTAAAAAAAAGAAGATAAAAAAACTAATTGTGATTAGATAATTAATTAAATTAGATAAATAATAATAAGATTAACAGTTAAAAAATATTTATTTATTTTAAAAAATAAAAAAATATATAATTAATTTAAAACAAATTTAAAATTTTTAAAAAAAGGGCAATTATTTTAAGAATGATTAATGCCCAAAAAAGGATAAAATCATATAGACATAAAAATACATGTTAAAAAGGACAGATTTGTGGTCTATCCTTAGAAATTTTTACAATTTGTCTCTTTTTTCAATCTTAAATTATATAACATAAAAATACACTTATTTCATATTTTTAAATTCACCTTATTTACAGACTATATAACTTAAATTTAAAATTAAATAAACCATGCAGCAGAGTAACCAAATCTAATAAAGCATCACTCATCATCAATGGACATGGACATAATTAAAAGGCTGAAACGAATAGCAAGAAATAGCTCGGCCAGAAAAAGAAGAAGCAAGAAATACCCAAAATTAGCAAGAAATAGTAACAAATGCAAGCATACCAGGCAGATTCAAAAATAGGAAAAAATTATCAAGAATATACAAGCATACGAGGCGGATGATGAGATGAAAAAATTAAGTCTCACGTCTCAGAAAATTCTCCAAATCAAGCATACCACTATGGTTGTTTACTGCAACATTATTTTTATTGAAAGATACAAACACTCTTCTCCCTCACCGTTTCGCTTGCTGCTCTGCGTCGGTATTGCCTGGAATCTTAAGGTTTTGAAGTTGTTTTAATATTACCTTAAATTAACAAATTTATGCACAAACGAAGATATAGTTCATACTTCTTTCATTCTTTTAGAAGCACAAGATGACATATTAATATGCATGCAGGTGGACGTGGGAGCAACATATCCCTTAAAATTAAGGTTTTGAAGGATATTGAGAATGAATGGCAAAAGGCATACAGTTTTAGCATGAAGAAGTAAAAGGGGTAGGACATGGGGGCATAGGAACTTGGACAACTCCTTCAAGCATCTTAGTTACCTTTCTCATGGAGGGTCGTAAAGAGGGATCTTCTTGTATGCACCAAATTGCCACCATCACTAGCCTTTCCACCTGATGGAAGTTACGTGAAGCAGCTTTGGTGGCTGTGGCAGTATATCAGTGCCATCAAGCTGCCCAAGTTCAGTTTGGTTAAACTGAAACTAGCCAAACCCTTTTGTGTCCTTTCTAGTCATATTTCTAGTTGGAGCCATGTGATGATGTGTATTATTTTTTATGATAAAATATTGTTGTAAAAGAGCTCCTTAGCTTGAATTTTTTGAATTTCAAATTTTAAATTGTCTAATGTAAAAATACTGAAAAACTGAAATGGAAACTTAATTTCAGCTCTTTAACGTCTCTCTCCATTTCTTTGAAAAATACCCGAACACCACCTTTGTCATGTCATTTATCGCCTCCTCATCATTCTCCACTACTCTATCCAATCTTTTCTTTTTATAGCAGTCATAGACCCAATCTGTTAGTATCACTTCATCCTCATTTTCTCGTTCTACTTCATAGTTTTTCCTGCAACAGATGATCTCCAATAGCATCACCCCATAACTATAAACATCAATCTTTGTTGTAATTGGCGTGTTCCGGAACCATTCCGGAGCAACATATCCCTTTGTGCCCCTGATTGCTGTTGTGGTGCGAGTTTGGTCACTCATCAGAAGCTTTGCCAATCCAAAGTCTGAGATTCTTGCAGTGAATGAGTCATCTAAGAGTATGTTTTGAGGCTTAATATCGCAGTGGATAATGGGTATGCTGCACTCCTCATGCAAATACACTAGTCCTCTTGCAATCTCAAATGCCCATTGAGTACGACTCTTCCATTCAGGTCTACAATCTCCATACAAGAGACTAGCTAGTGTTCCATTGCTCATGAACTCATAGACTAAAAGCTTGTGCAGCCCTTCCTCACAGAATCCAATCAAACTGACCAAATTCTTGTGATGGGTTTTAGCAATTGCATTTACCTCTGTTTTGAATTCCTTCTCAACTTCTTGCATTAACTTGTCTAATTTTTTCACAGCAATGGGGATTATTGTTGAATGTGCAAATCGTAAAACCCCTTTATACACAGTTCCAAAAGCACCTCTTCCAAGTTCTTCCTTGAACCCATCTGTGGCTTCCGCAAGATCTTGGTAAGTAAAAGGTCGTGGATTACTTTCCAAGGTGCTTGAAATTTGATCTGGTTTCTGCCTCTTGTTGCAGGACCAGATAGCCAATATGGAGCCTGCAGTTATGTGCAGGAAATTGATAAATGCTGAGCCTCCTAAAAGAAATGATCCCACCCGAATCACACTTGATTGATCTTTCTTCTGTGGTCCAGGACCTTCAGGACTCGGAAAACTAGAAGCATTAATAGATCTTGCTACCTTTACGAATGCTTTGCCATTGATTCTCTTGGTCACCATTCCATTTGTTAGTGGTAGCTTCTTCTTCTTCGAACAACCTCCTTCTCGAAGTACAGCAACCACGCATTGGCAATCATAGAGACAAGATTGCCTACATTCATCTTCATTTGATGGAGTCCACTCAAAGTTTACAGACGTTGGCCAGAAAGTGTTTGGTAACTCATGCATATCATACAAATCCTCTACTTTTGAAGGGCCCATATTGCATTCCTGTATCCTGTCCTGAATGCACCCATTGAACTTGTTGTTGGGGTCGGAGAAAATGAAGCCGGGGAGGCATTCACAATTCGGCCGTGCATTACTATCAATTGTACAGTAGCTGTTAAAGCCACAAGAACCAAGTCCCTCATTAAAGTCCCTGTTAAAAAATCAAGGATTCCCGAAAAGAAGAAAATGGAATGAAAAACTGAATCACACATTAACTGAAAATAATCCAGCCTTTAAATAGGCTTTACAAGATAATATTATCTGAAAAGATAACTAACCAATCTTATCTAATCTAATTTAAATGATAACAACCTAAAACAAACAAATAACTTAAACTTCCTAAATTATAGAGATAATGGCTAAATAATTAGATCTAATTTCCAACAATCCCTCCCTTAAACTGAAAGTCTTTAGACTTTAGTTTAAAAAAATCTGAATAACACCATATCTGCAGATTTGCAATCTGAAATCTGCAAACCCTCCCTCAAACTGAATTCTGCATGCTACAAACATTAAGTAACTCTCTCAGTTTTGAAAAAGCTGCTACTTTGAGGAGTTTTGTGAATATATCAGCCACTTGATCTTCTGTTCTGCAATAAATCAACTCAATTGTTCCATCTTCTACCAACTTGCGCAAGAAATGATACCTCACATGTATATGCTTGCTTCTCCCATGTAGAACTGGATTTCTAGAAAGTTTGATGGCTGAACTGTTATCACAATAAATTGAAGTGGCCTCATGTTGATTCAGCTCAAGTTCTTCCATAATTCTTCTCAACCAAATAGCTTGACAAGCATAAGAAGTTGCTGCCACATATTCCGCTTTTGTTGTGGACAAAGTCACAATGGGCTGCTTCTTTGAAGACCATGAAATTGCACCAGATCCCAACATAAAAACAAACCCAGAAGTGCTTTTTCTGTCATCCAGATCTCCAGCATAATCACTGTTTGTAAAGCCTGCGAGATCTGTCTAGTCACCCTTCTTGTAGAATAGTCCAAAATCTGCAATTCCACATAAATACCTAAGAATTCTTTTAGCAAGTCTACAAGTGCAACTCCTTTGGATGCTCCATATATTTGCTAATCAGACTTACACCATGCATTATATCTGGTCTTGTTGCTATCAGATACATCAGACTTCCAACAATCTGCTTATACAGTTTGCTGTCCACAGATTTGCCTCTTGGATCTTTCATGAGCTTTACACCTTTGTCAATTGGTGTAGTGACAGAATTGCAATTCTTCATTTGAAATCTATCCAAAACTTCCTACACATATTTTTTCTGACAAACAAAAATTCCAGAATCTGATTGTACTACTTCCAAACCAAAAAAATAATGCAACAAACCCAGATTTGTCATTTCAAATTCAAGCTTCATGGACTGCTTGAACTTTTCCAACATGCCAAAATCATTCCCAGTATAAATTAAATCATCAACATATAAGCATACGATAATCATTTTACCTCCATCTCCAAATTTAATGTAATGTGTATGCTCATAAGGGCGCTTTTGAAAACCTTCCTTAAAAAAATAAGCATCAATTCGACTATGCTAAGCTCTAGGTGCTTGTTTTAGTCCATATAATGCTTTCTTCAATCTGTAAACCTTATGCTTAAAACCAGATTTCACATAACCAGGAGGTTGATCAATAAATACCTGTTCTTGCATATTCCATGCAAGAAGGCAAATTTCACATCAAGCTGGTAGATCGGCCATGAGTTCTGTGCTGCCAATGCAATCACCAATCTAATGGTATCCATCCTTGCAACTGGAGCAAAAACTTCTTGATAATCAATGCCAAACTCTTGCTTGTAACCTTTTGCCACCAAGCGAGCTTTGAATTTGTCAACCGCCCCATTCTCTTTGAGCTTTGTCTTGTAGATCCATTTAACACCAATTGTTTTGTGCCCTTCTGGAAGATCTGTCAACTCCCAAGTCTGGTTCCTTTCAATAGAACCAATTTCTTCTGCCATGGCTTTTTGCCACTTTTCTTCTTTAACAGCTTCTTCATATGTCAATGAATCACAATCTACAAATAGAGCAAAATGATTAACTGGAACATCATCTTGAGGTAGATCTGTTACCTCATAATCTTCCAACCATGTTGGTCTTCTCTTTTTGTGTTGAGGTCTGGAACTAGTTCCAAATTCCAGTTCTGGTGTTGTTGGTAGACTTCCTCCAATATTGAGCTCTATTTCTATAGGCAGACTTTCTTCAGTTGTCTGTCTTGAAACCTCAAGATCTGTTGAAGTTTGACCTTCTGAGTTCTACACAGTTAGATTTTCCCTATTTTCGAAATCTGCAGGAATTTGTTGCCCAGATTTTTCTGTCCAAGACCAAGTGCTTGCTTCATCAAACCCTACATCACGACTAATGATGACCTTCTTGGTTAAAGGATTGTATAATCTGTAAGCTTTGGACTGATCACTAACACCAAGGAAAATACACTTTTCCCTTTTATCATCAAGCTTACTCCTTTTCTGATCTGGCACATGTGCATATGCTATGGACCCAAAAATTCTGAAGTAATCAACAGTAGGTCTACGTCCACTCCAAGCCTCTTCTAGCGTCAAATCTGGAAGTGGAGATGTGGGACTTCTGTTCAAGATATGAACACTCCAATTAATAGCTTCTGGCCAAAACTCCTTAGGCAAGCCGCTCTTTGACATCAGACTTCGCACCATATTCATGATTGTGCGATTCCTCCTCTCACATACACCATTCTGCTGAGGTGTATAGGCTGCTGTGAGTTGCCTTTTAATGCCATGGGACTCACAAAAATCTACAAATTCCTTTGAATTAAACTCACCACCACGATCTGTACGCAGAACCTTTACAGATCTGCCAACCTCATTCTCAGCCGAGACTTTGAAATTTTTTAAAGGCTGCTAAGGCTTCTGACTTGGTTTGCAAAAAATACACCCATGTTTTGCGACTGTAATCATCAACAAAGGTAATAAAGTATTGTTTACCTCCATTGGATGTTGGATTTATGGGTCCACACAGATCAGAATGAACCAGATCTAGCACCTGCTTTGCTCTCTAAGATTTATCTTTAGGAAAGCTGTCACGATGCTGTTTACTGACCACGCAGATTTCACAAATTTCTAAAGGATAATCAAAACGAGGAAGACCATTTACCATCTTCTTCTACTGCAAAGCTTTCAACCCATCAAAATAAAGATGTCCAAATCGGCAATGCCATAACCAAGCTGTGTCCTTTAATCTGGTAGATAAACATGACAGATTTGTGGTCTGTAAGTATAATGGAAACAACCTATTTCTCGTCATCTTGACCTTTGCAATCAAGCCAAGTTTTGAATCACAAATTTGGCAAACTCCATCTTTAATAAGGATTGCATATCCTTTTTCCTAAAGTTGTCCTAGACTAAGCAGATTCGACTTCAAATCTAGTACATACAGAACATTAGAAATAGTTTGAATTAAATTGTCTTTGGCACGAATGGTTACCTTTCCCCTTCCCTTGACTGCAATAATGGAATTATCACCAAATTTCACCTTGTCTTGACAAGACTCATTCAAATATGAAAATGCAGGTTTGTCTCTACACATGTGATTGTTGCAACCAGTATCCAGATACCACACATTCTTCTTGCTGACTTCTTTAGGATGATAGACCATGAATAGAGAGGAATCGTCATTCTTCTCATTGTGTTCTGCAAAATTGGAACTTTCTCCTTTATTGAGATTAGCACGGCACTCAGAATGATAATGGCCATCTTATGACATCTGAAGCATTCAATATTTGCCTCTCCTACAGATTTGGATCTGTTATCTGCAACTTGATAATTTATGTTCTGCCACCTCTTCTGAATTCTAGTGGCTGAACTTTCCTCCAATCTGTCAGATCTCAATCTGCCAGATCTTGATCTGCCTTTCCAGATTTCTTTTCCTCGACCTACAGCCCTTGAATTAACTGTGGTCTGCAAGGCTTGTGTCTGCGAAATCTGCACTGCTTGCTCTTGCTTGTCTTGGCAATTTATCTTCCGCTCATGAATTAACAATGAATTCTACAACT